GGTCGACTACGAGTCCAGTGACGTAGCCATTACACCAACTGCTGGTCCCAATATGGCTATTTATTCTAAAAATGTACGTGTTAGATATGGTAGAGTAAACTTGGTGTGGTCATAGGAGGACACAAGAACAAGACTTGGAAAGAAGTTTAGTATACTTTCAAGTCCAAGACAGGAGGTCCGTGCTTGTCCTGCAGGGCTGCCGGGGAGGCACCAGGTGTTGCCAGCTGGCAAATGACAGGAGTGGAGAGAAAGTCTAGGTCAGAGCCACTTGAGGTTTCTTTGGGAAAAGCAGGGCAGAGTAAACACTTTATGGTTGGCTAGTTTTGAGTAATTCCTATGGACTTTGAATAGTAAGTCTTTGGGAAGACTCAAGGCAGGGAATGCATTCTCTTGATGTATAAGAGTTAGATGATGAACTGGTTGAAGTTACAGATTTGGGATTGGTTGGTTTGCTTATAAAAGTCAAGCTGCAGGCCCAGCTATTGGCTAGTTCTAGGAGGGCCTGTCTTTCCATCTGTCTGCCCTCTTCCCCAGCAAGATTTGTAAACTGTCGAAGCATCATAGAATATAGAAAATGAAGTGAAAAGGCCTGGTTCCAGTCTTTTTTATGCAAAATTGGATAGTATTTTGTATAGTTTTTGTTCTGCTTTGTTTTGTTTTGTTTTGTTTTGTTTTGTTTTGTTTTAATTTGCAAGAGCACATGTGCTTGCCAGAGTCAGACAGAGACAAAAAGAGGTGAAAACCCTCCTATTAGGAATGGTCACATAATCTTTTGTATTCTATCATTCCCTCCTTTCTGGATCTGGGGCACACATAAACATGCACCCAGAGGATTTCTGAAGCTGTCAGTTCATGGACTTGAGCAGCACAGTTGGTCATGTGGGAATCCAGTCATATTAACCACCACTCCACAGGCTGGCCCATGATTACTTTTTATTCAGTGGTATTGATTCTTTATCAGTATTGTGAAAATAAAAATATCTCTTTTGATTTTTTTTTTTTTTTGGATTGAGAAAGACCAAGTGAATTAACATTTCTGAGAAAGCTTTGACAATTTCAAGTTTAAACATGCAGGTAGTTGCCTCAATGATCATTACATCCCAGGTAACCTTGTAGCATATGGAGTACAACTTGCTCAGCCAAACCTTCTCATTGAACCGGGCACTTGGAGTGAAAGAATTTTCCATCCATAACTTTGTAATTTAACTATCCACTTCTTGATCTAAAGAAGAGGCTCATAAAATGACCATAAAACAGAAGAAGTTCTCTATTCTACTCATTCAGGACATAAAAAAAGAAGTGGTTTCAAGATACTCTCCTCTGCAGAAGCATGTGTGCTTTGATTTTTGCTTTATTTAGCTGTTTTCTGCATTATATATTGATGAATTGTTACATATGAGTATTCTATTTTGTCCTACTCTAAAAACAATTAAAAACAAGGACTCATGAGATAGAGGAGTTGACATATTTTGAGTTCAATACCTATTATGATGGAATTGACTGACTTATTACCAAAATTAATGACAAATTTAATACATATTTTTATCCTGTAAGTATGACAATAGATGTACATCTAAAAATTTTGCAGTTGGAAAATACGATGTTTTTGTTTTGTTTTGTTTTAAATGGGAATAGGAACTTTTACTCTGAATGTATGGGTTACAGAGCTAATGGAAGTGTGTGCATACAGCTTAATTTTACACATTAATTTCTATTAAATCTTCTCCCTCTGCCTTGTTGAATTTTATAATTCTTCTTATTATTTTTATAAATTTCCAGAAGGTGACTACCATCATGCTTGTTCAAACAAGTTGGAGAGAGAAAGTGCCCCTCAGAGTGTGTGTGTGTGTGTGTGTGTGTGTGTGTGTGTGGCAGAGGGGTCAGTCATGCTGCAATCCTTTTTCTTCAATTTCTCCTTCCCATTATGATTGTGGGTGCACACACACACACACACACACACACACCTGGCTTGTTTTCCAAGCCACCAGGGCCAGCATTCAGACTGTGATCAGCCACATGAAATCCTGTGCCCCATGCACAGCTCTTAACCACTGTGCTACAGGACTGGTCTGTGAATTTTATAATTCTTTACATTTTAAGTCAAGTGCCTCCTTCTTGGCAAACCCTTCCCACCTACCCCAGTTAATGAGCATAACTGTCCTTTGAACACTTACGACTTCATTCTTGACTCTTGACTCATCTCTACAATTAAGTGGTCCTCTCTCCACTCTACAATTAAGTGGTCCTCTCTCCACTCTTACCAACCCCAGCATATATTTTTAAGCTTATTTGCTGTCTGAAAGAAAGATAGTGAGAGACAGACAGACGAGCACCTTTGACAGGGTCTTTATGTTTCAGTTCGCCTCTCAGTCCAGCAGCTAGCTCAGATCATGGTGCACCAGTGCATTGTGTGTAATGGCCTTGTGTTCCAAACAAGAGGCAATTTTTCATTTTTAGTTGAGATGTTTTGAGAAAGTTGATTGTTGGATAAACATGGTTGATCTTATTAATATAAACAGATATAGGAGCCAGTAAGTGGCATGGTGGTTAAGGCACTGGGTTCTCACATGTCCAACCACAGTTCATGGACCCACTGGCTTGAGGATCAAGGTAGGTGCATGTGTGCTTACCCAAAATCCTGAGAGAATGGAGAAGGACTGTAGCACAACCAGTGCTCCTGGGAGCAGAGGGAGGGTGATTTGTCACTTTCTCTCTCTTCGTTCTTCTTATCTCTCCCTGGCAAACACATGCACCCTATGTAAAAATTTAAAAAAAAATTAAATATATAAACATGTAGTTTGAAGATGTTGAAATACACTTTTCAAACTGAATTTACTGGGAGTATAGCCTTATACTCCTAAATGAAACTTATAGACTATAAGATATACATTTCCTGAACAACAAAATCAATTCTGATTAGAAATTTATGGAGAATAAAAATAATTACTGAGCAAGTACTTTAGAGGCTCCTCTATGAATGAAATATTCAGAATTTTAGACCCTAGCTTTGAAACTACACATATTTCATTATTTGTTTCTTGGTTCACAATTGCATCCTGAATGTCCAATTTGTAGTATAAATTAGTTGATAGTACTAGATTGTCTTTTAAGTTTAAATGTAGGAGTAGTGTAACTCCTATTAGAGGCTTGGATGAAAATCATTTAGATGTATCCATCTAATGATTATTAGATCACTCCTGATAAATAGCATGTTTAGCAAAAATATATCAACATTTCCAAAGGAACTTAGTAGATTTTTCTTTGTTTTTGTTTGTTTATATATATATATATATATTGTTTTTAAGTTTGCTTAATTGAAAATATAAGTTGTTTGTAGAATTTACAGCAGTTAATTGGAAGTACTTAGTGTCTTAACAACACGATATACTGAAGTACTCATTGTATTAGCAGCTATACTAATTGAAATTCAACCAGCCTTGATTAAGTGACTCTTCTACAGCCAATTAAAATGAGAAACTGCAAACAAATTGTATTAAATAATCTTATAAATCATTGAAGTATGGTATCAAGAAATATAACACTTATTTACTATAGGAAATCATTTTTCATTCCAGTATTCTTTAATGGAAATTATCAACTATAATGACTAGCATGTTTTTTCAAAAAAAGCTGTATTACTGAAGTATTTGTTTATTGAAGATTGATTGATTATTTATTTAATTTTTTATTTATTCATTTATTTATTTTAATTTGACTACAGAGAGAGAGAGAGAGAGAGAAAGTGAGAAAGAAAGCCACCAGGTCCAGGACTCCAACCAAAGTCAGCCATAGTCCAGCACCTTAACCACTATGCCACCTGCTGGTCTCTAAGATTGATTGCTTCATAACTACATGAATAAAATATAATCTAAATTTGTAATACAGACTTCTGTAATATTAGGTATATAAATACTGAAAATGTCAACGAATTTGGATGTATTTGAAGATTTTCATTAAGTATCTATAAAAGAATAACAAGGCTTTTCTGTGCAACGAGTGGCAGAATACTAACACACAGAAATGAAAATAACACAATGATCTAGCTCATTGTAAAAATCAAAGTGCTTAAATTGCTTATAGAGACTTTTTGTTTGGCTTCTCCTGCTCTCTGTCTTTATTACCTGCTGTGTTTCCCATCCCCACTTACACTGTTCTTGTAACACTGCAGCCATGTACTCCTGCCGTCTGATCTTAGACCATTTCCTTGCAAAGTTCACTGTCACCTCTAAGATATCTGCTTAAATGTCACTATCTCAGTGAGGCTTTTACTAGCTAATCTAGTTGAAATTGTAACCCTCTTCTTCTCTGTCTTCCTGCTTTATTTTTCTCTATTGTACTTTGTACCAAATCATTCATTTTGATCATTTAATACTTTTTTTTAATTTCTTCTTGGGCTAAACTCCATAAAGTCTAGCATTTTCATTCAACTAGTTAACTGCTGTATTCCAAGTGTCCAGCATAATGCTTGGAATAAATAAATGTCTCCCAAATAAGTATAAGGCCTTATTTAATTTAATACTAAATATTTAATTTAGTACTTGTGGACATGCATCAACTGGTAACAAACTGGATATGAGGACACAAAGGAAAGCATTTGTCATGGGTCTAGTTTTATGAGATAACAGATGCTACTTTTTTGCTCTTATATAAGTGTTCAAATAACTATTGTAAGCTCTTTATATATATTTAATTTGTTTCTTCAAACCTTATGAAACAAGTGCTATTATTAGTTTTACTTTACATTTGAGGAAACTAGAGGTAAGAGTTGCTCTTGATCATGCAGTTCATGTGTAGGAAAGCAATACCAGGACAGCTGATCCCAGAAACCATATTCTTACGTCAAGTCACATTAAAATGCTGTTGCATTATTTCTATACATAGCTTCATTTGCACCCTTTTATTGATTTACTAAAGCAAAAATAGAAGTAAGCATTTCTGTCTAACCACTGTGGTTATCTAATCTTTTATTTATTTATTTTTATTTTATTTTTTTGGTACAGTGGGATGCCATCACTGAAATGGATGAACACAATAGACCCATTCACACGTACCAGGTATGTAACGTAATGGAACCAAACCAAAACAACTGGCTTCGTACAAACTGGATCTCCCGTGATGCAGCTCAGAAAATTTATGTGGAAATGAAGTTCACACTGAGGGATTGTAACAGCATCCCATGGGTCTTGGGAACTTGCAAAGAAACATTTAATCTGTATTATATGGAATCAGATGAGTCTCATGGAATTAAATTCAAGCCAAGTCAATATACGAAAATAGATACAATTGCTGCTGATGAGAGTTTTACCCAGATGGATTTGGGTGATCGTATCCTCAAACTCAACACTGAAATTCGTGAGGTGGGGCCTATAGAAAGGAAAGGATTTTATCTAGCTTTTCAAGACATTGGGGCATGCATTGCTCTGGTTTCAGTTCGTGTTTTCTACAAAAAATGCCCCTTCACCGTTCGTAACTTGGCCATGTTTCCTGACACCATCCCGAGGGTTGATTCTTCCTCTTTGGTTGAAGTACGGGGCTCTTGTGTGAAGAGTGCTGAAGAGCGTGATACTCCTAAACTATACTGTGGTGCTGATGGAGATTGGCTTGTTCCTCTTGGAAGGTGCATCTGCAGTACAGGATATGAAGAAATTGAAGGTTCTTGCCATGGTAAGAAAGAATCATTTAAATAATATATATTGCATTTAAATGATGATTTCGTTGTTGTTTGTTTGTTTGTTTTTGAGATGCTTTTGCTATAGGGTGCATGCACTTGCCAGAAAAACAGAGAGAGAGAGACAGAAAGCGAGAAATCATTCCCTAGGAGGTATGACCATGCTGCAATCCCTTCTCCTCCATTTTTGTCTCGGGATCTTGGGCACTCACGCACACACAGCCAGCGTGAGTTTAAACCACCAGGTCCGGGACTCAAATCGTGGTCACCTACATGGGAGTCCAGCAACATAGCCATTATGCCAACTGCTGGTCCCATTAAATGATGATTTTTAAGAGTAAATGTGTTGTACATTGGTTTTAAAATTTTTGAATACCATTCCTAGCAATTAACTGTGGAAGGAATTCACTCAGATTAACCATAAGAAAATTTCTGATATTTTTTCCTCGTGGGTAAGATATATGAAAATGTATCATATTGCTATGAGCGAAGGAGTTAAGGAATATGAATTGTTGTATACACCTAAATTTTATAAAGAAAAGCAATATTAATAGCAGCAACAAATAAGAATGGTGACTCAAATGGGGATTTGCTTATTGGCCTTTTTAGTTGTTTATAGAGAATATGACATTAAAATAAACCTTTATATGAAATTTAATAATTGAATAGTAACTAATTGGAATTATATTTAAATAAACAAATAATTTATATATATTTTATTTTGAAAACATAGAGACTAGTGCCTAAGGATGTTATATAATTGGTGGTTGAGTGTTAACTTTATAAGCACTTGATTTATGTTTTACTACTACTAAGTATTATTTTCTTCCATATAACCTATTGTTTTTTTATTTTAATAGTAGTATTTGTGTAAGATCTGCCAGCACAATGCTAGTTCAGTTTAACTAGACCGTTCACATTGTCAAGACAATAAAATACTCATAATATTTCAAAAAGAAACTTCTTTCTTGTTCATTTTAATCATTTTATGAAAGCTTATTATTCTAATATATACATTTTAAAAATTTTGTGTACCCTCATTAATAATCTATTCAATTACACTTGGATCTAGAACTCATAATAAAAAAATAAGTATAGAAAAAAATTATTTCTTGATAAATTGTAATATAATGGATATATTTCCCACTCCATGATTATTATTTATAGGTATTTTTTCTAAAGCACCATATTGAATTTATTGACTTCTTTATTGATACTTATTAAAAAGGACAAGAATACATAAGAAAAAAACATACTTGTATGCATATAAGGGTCATTGGTAATATATGTGAATTTTTAAAGATTTTTTTTACCTATTTGTAAAACAAAATACTCATAATATTTCAAAAAGAAACTTCTTTCTTGTTAATTTTAATCATTTTATGAAAGCTTATTATTCTAATATATACATTTTAAAAATTTTGTGTACCCTCATTAATAATCTATTCAATTACACTTGGATCTAGAACTCATAATAAAAAAATAAGTATAGAAAAAAATTATTTCTTGATAAATTGTAATATAATGGATATATTTCCCACTCCATGATTATTATTTATAGGTATTTTTTCTAAAGCACCATATTGAATTTATTGACTTCTTTATTGATACTTATTAAAAAGGACAAGAATACATAAGAAAAAAACATACTTGTATGCATATAAGGGTCATTGGTAATATATGTGAATTTTTAAAGATTTTTTTTACCTATTTGTAAAACAAAAGGGATCTTAACTTTTTTTTTTTTTTTTAAGTTTTACTAGAGTCTCCAGTGATGCCGGGTAATGGGGAATATTTCTATTTATATAAGTCTGAACTGTATATTTTGTAAAGTGCGAACCAGCTTTATTCCACTATTTAATCATGAGAATATACATACTTCATTCAAGTTTATCAATATAGGTTTAATATAGAATTGTCATTCACTTATAAGAAGGATTTATAAGGCAGAAAAAGTTTTAAAAATGATCCCCAATGGGTCTGTAAAATATTTTACATTGGAAAAAGACATTAAAGAAATTTGTATACATGTAATTATTCATTAAGGGGGTATACAGTAAGATCCGGGGATAAAATATATTACATATTGTAACCTGTAGTTTTATTGCATTTAAAAATAGATAGAAGTTAGCCATTAATTGTTCAAAATAATAAAGTTTAAAATATTTAAAGAATAAACAAATCTAAGGATTTACATGATTATCTATTACTAAATACTTTCACTTTTATGACGTTGACCATAGGATTAAAGTAACTAACCATGATCATGACCACTAGATTCTTTTTACTTAATATACTTGCTGTGTGAAATTTCATTCTTATGTATATACTTAGAACCTCTTTCTTTTGGCAAAAAAAATATTTTAGACAATGGTAAACTGCATCAGTTTACTTAGAGTTTCTACTTATCTATTCTTATGACTTGTTATTTTTATTATCCTTATTGCAAAAATTTGTGGATGTTGGTATACTATCTTCTTGTACTGGATGGCAGAAATTAGAAGACTTAACTTAAGTTCTATATTCACGACTTACTAACTTTGAAATTTTACTTACATGTGTGCTTTTGATGCTTCACATTGTTCCTTTTTTTCCCTTTGATAATGGTTTTTATCATTGCTTCCATTGCCATCTATCAAAAACCTATTTTGCAACCAAATCTCCAAATTAAATATATCTGGAATATCAAAATAATTCCAATGTATATGAATAAACCATAGCTCCAGTAATTATGTGACTACACATTCGATGGGAAAAGCAAAAACAACATACTCCTTCTACTTTATTCTATTAAAAAATAAACTATTGATATTTTTCAGGACCTAGTATCACTTAATCTATTTCTTAGGCAGTAGATATAAAAATGAAGCATATATCATTATTTGTTATCATTTAGTGCAAATACACAAAGCAAAGTCAAACCTTACTGGCTTAAAACCTTAATATGGATTTATCAGTTCTCAGGGCTTTGTTAGGTACCTTTTCTGCCTAATAAATAATAAGTAGAGGTCACTCATGCTGTTGAATTCTGCTGAGAGCTTAAATGCAATTAGAAAGTCCAAGACAGCTTCTTATCTTTCAGCGCCTCTATCTATGTGGACTCTCATTATTTAAGTCTCTAGCCCAGGCTTTTTAGAGTATAGGTGTTGACTTAAGAGAAAGTTTTTCATTTAGCCATATGTGAAATGAGTATATATGCATGCTACACAAGGAGATGAATATCTGGAAGCATATTTACAGAGGACTGCCACTGTGACCGTATACCTTAGTATACCTTAGTGTCTCTCTGATTCTTTCGATTCATTTCCCTCCTTCATTCAGAAAGTTCCACACTCTCCCAAAAATTATCCCTTTATGGTGTCACATTGAAGACAAGATAACATCATTAAAATAAGTTGCAGATATGAATTAATCTTTAAAGCTAACACCTCTCTTGACCTGCAGAACTATGAACTAAAAAGAGAAATTTTTGTTCTTCACACATGCAATCTACATGTGATAAAAACAGGATAATTATAAAAGACTTTCCCATTCTGAAAAGTAAAGAACTCAGTAGTAACTTGTCCACTGTGATTCTGAAATTCATGTAAGTATTCTCAGAATCCATACTACAGGGATAGGGAAGGCTCTCTGATAAATGTCGGTTCTACTTGTGATTGGTTCTTGTGGCCCCTGACTCTATCAATGGTCTCTTGACTACCTTCTGAGTCATCTTCTTTATTTAAGGGAATTGTCCAAATACTAGTTTCAAGAGATATCTGGGAACCTTTTAATTTGATTAAAAACATAACAAAGTTATGGGAACACATGGGTTAACCTTTCAGTACCCATAATAACCATTTATTTACTGATCCTCTAGCCTTTATTCACAGTCTCCTTGCTATCATTAAAGCTTGCATAATCTGTTCAGACTCAAAGAAGACTCCATTGGTTTGAGCTTTTTCTTACAGCAGCACTCCATGTCCTATGCACATAACTTGCCTACACTTTCTATAATCTAAAAGTTGACTGGTCTCACCAGTGGCTCCCTTTTGGTCTGGTCTGTGGCCACTCATGTCATTGCTGTTATTTTGAGATTTAATAAAGCTAACATGGGGACCAGCAGTTGGCGTAATGGCTACATCACTAGACTCCCATGTAGTCGACAGAGGTTCGAGTCCCAGATCTATGGCTTAAACTCACACTGGGGGCGTGTGTGTGCGTGCCCAAGATCCCAAAAGGAGAATGGAGGAGAAAGGATTGTGGCATAGGCATCCCCCATGGGGGGATGGTTTCTCACTTCTGTCTCTGTCTCTCTCTGTTTTTCCGGAGAACACACACACCCTATAGCAAAAACCTCTCTGAAAAAAATAAATAAAGCTAGCATGGCTTCACTAATGTATGATGCATCATCTGGGACATTTGATGTACTGAGATTGGTTACTGTTAGAAATACTGATAACTGCTTTAGAGTATTAAATTTATGATAATTTTAGTTTTAAATTTTTCTTTTGTGTGTTCATTGCTCATTCAGAGTTGGAAGTCACCAAGAAGTTCAAGGAACTTCACAATTTGGCCTTGTTTTATTTTTTTTTTTCTAGTCTGGCAAGTTTTGTTTATTTTTCTATATTGATAATTTTGAACAATCCATATATATTTTTTCTGTTTGGTTTAATTGGTAGTATCTATGTGTTCATGAGAGAAAGAGAGAGAGAGAAACATCAGCATCCATTATGATATGTATGTGATCATCTCACCTCCATTCCTTCATCCCATCAGGATTTTGGGCATGAATGTACAGATGCCTGACATAGATAACATCATTAAAATAAGTTGCAGATATGAATTAATCTTTAAAGCTAACACCTCTCTTGACCTGCAGAACTATGAACTAAAAAGAGAAATTTTTGTTCTTCACACATGCAATCTACATGTGATAAAAACAGGATAATTATAAAAGACTTTCCCATTCTGAAAAGTAAAGAACTCAGTAGTAACTTGTCCACTGTGATTCTGA